CACATCACTTCATTTCTCATCTTTCTCTTTTCCATTTAGTGCAGAGACTTTCTCCCCATTCATAGCATCTTGTGAAACAGGGCCCTGACCAGAACTGGAGCACATAAGCATCACAGTAGCTTAGCTTCAGTTTATTTTCTGATGTTATTGAACTTAGTAGGAACAAATGCAAAGGCTAAGTTCTTGAGTAAAAATATTTCTGACAGCCCAAGGAAAAAACTGTCCCGTGCCATGAAACTGTAGTGGGACCTCACTGGCAATGTTTGAGGACAGAACTAACTTTGTTCATGGAGACAAGAAATAGGAATGCCAGGCATCTGCTTGCTCCAGCTATCATCTTAATTTAGTTAAATTTAATCTTTAGAGGTGTATCAGGACCCCTTATAAAAGAATGCGGATCAGAGCCCAGTATTTTTTTTTTCCTGCTTTCTTTGTATAGTTATCTTCACCCAGAATCGGCTAACTGCTTTGCAGGAAAAAGCCGTGCCCGCTGCAAGTCTTGTTCCTATGTCTAGAAATGTGAAGGGAAGTCTTGGGAGAAAACAGTCGTTAGACGGCTGTTACTGGCAGCCTGAGCTGACTCTAATGACGGGTATGGAAGTCAGCAGGCACCAGTTGGCAAGTATTTCTGCAGCTCAAACTGGGTCACGTTGTCAGTGAGCTTTGTGTGGTTGTGTCACGTAGTGTAATTCATCTCAAAAGCTCCTGCTTTGGTTTTCCTCTTTGAGCAGATCGGTGTAGTCGGATCTGCCCTGCTCTTTACCTTTGAAAACTCCTGGTTTGTTTTTTCTCCGCTTGTCTCTTGTAGTTAAAGGAAGTGCCAGAGTTGCAAAGGGAGCTTCAGACCATGAAAATAGCCCTTGCAGAAGCCAACATGGACAAGGCTCGCCTTCTGCAGGAGATTAGGAAATACAATCCCCTCTTCCAGCTTTGACAGTGAAGGCGCAGGCTGCAGCTGCTCAGGAGGAGCGGAGACCACCACCAGCACTAAGGCGGCTAGTTTGATTATATTGCTGCTAAACGGGTCAACCTCCTGGAGACTGATCGCCTCAAAGAATGGAAACCAACTGTGATTGCAAAATGAACTTGAAAGAGGGAGAAAGGAAGGAAGGAAGGCCTGGCTGAGCAACAGGGAAGGAACGAGGAGTTGTTACCTGTTTGCAGCCACTTTCCTCTGTCCTGGCAGTATGGTGCTGCCTCTGTCGCTGAACCAGGGCAGTGGCCAGCCTACAAACAAAAGGTCAGAAGTTGGGGGGGGACACCCCATGTCTATTCATCCATACGGTGGCAGTGACAGTGTGCTTTCATGGTAACGTCTAGAGATAGTCTGTGTTGGGGTTTCTGCTTCTTTCAGCCTTGTGTTCTCGCCTAATCATGCATGCCAAAGAACACAGGAAAAGGAACATAGTTACTTCGCCACATCAGGAATGACAGAGAATAGGTATGGCAGAAAACATTGCTCAGAGCTCTGATGTGAAAGCATGTGTACTATCACATGAAAAACAGAAACAGGAGGTCGGTGGGTGTGGGAGATGCAGAAGGGATTTCCCCCCTGTGGAGTAAGGGGGCTACAGCTCACTATTCCCTCAAGAACAGGGTCAGGATAGTAAAGAAAGTCCTTCAGACTTCTTTTTCCACCAGTAATTTGTTGTGTCAAGACAGAATCGGTAGTGTATTAGACTTAGTCTAGTTCATTCTCACTTAATCCCGCAACGTTTGGCTTTATTGATGCAGGAACACAAAGGAATTAATTTATTTCATGACAAAGTACTGTTTAAACTTTCTTTAATTTTACTGTCAGAGAACAGGGGTGAAGGAAGTTGGTTAAGTCACAGAATGAGATGACCTGTGTGTTTTCTTTGGGATGCACGCTGTCCGCAAACCATTGTATGCCAGAGTTTCACCAGTGGAGAGCTGGCCGCACAAGAAAATAGCTGTCTGCGTTCCTGCACGGTTGTGTATTTTTATTAGCACTGAGCACATGCCTGATCTTAAATGTCTTTTAACAGAGATGTTGGTATGTGGGTCAGGAGAAGGGTGCTGACCAGGCCCCCTTGGGTGGAGGCTGACACTATTAACTGCTCACTACGGGGTGGAGATGAAACAGTAGCTGCTGGGTTGAGCATGGTTTGTATTCTCGCCTTTTCTGGAGCTGCTTCCCTGAAGAGGAAGAAGTCTCTGTGGTCAGTGACTGACTTCATTTATAAAGAAATAGTCTCTACAAGTGTGGAGGGGAAAAAAAGAAAACCCTAGTAAAATAAGAAGTAAACGCTAATTTTAAAAAGGAAAAAAAGGAAATGTCATTTATGAACTGCAAGAATCAAATTCACTCCTGGTACCTGGTTTCTTTGCTCTGCTAGTCCGGGCAATACGTGGTCGATGTGCTGAAGAAGGAAGCAGCCGTAAGGGGCAGTTGTAAAGGGAGGAGCTGTTCCAGAGGAGAATTTGCTCTGTGTTCTGATACAGAAAGGGGTGACTTTCAGCCCCCTCTGTGTTATGGATGAATGCCTGTTCCCTCCCCTGTTATACACAGCATCTTTACTGTGTGCAGAGTTTGTTGGATTTTATCTTATTTCAAACTTTGATTTGGATTTTTCCAGATGCATTTTGTGTTTGTGTAAATGTCCCATTTCTGATGCACGGGCTTTTCAGTGCACGTAAAACAGGTAGCGATTGCCACACGCTAAGTGCTAGGAAAAGTGACAGATTATACGTGATTCTCCTTTATTAATCAGATGAAAACTTCACTTGTCTATAAAGGTTAGGTAACCCTTATTGTGTTTTTCAGCTGAACACATTCCCCAAAACATTCATCTATTGGATTTTTTTCTGTTTTTTTCTATGTAAGCATTACTCCACTGAAATTAGTTTAGCTAAAGTAATACAAGATTTTAATCCTGCTCACTATGCAAGGAGCGGCCTCTGATTTACAAGCCATGATGAGTTGAGGCCTGGAAACTACGCAAAAGAAAGCAAATAACTTGGGAGTTAAGTTTGTTTTTCCTACCGTGCTCGTATATACTTGTCCCTTTGCCCAGGCCTGGAGCTGTTGAACACTTCCCCTTAAGAGGCACTCCTGAGATCATTTTAGTTCTTCTCTAGCTCTAGGGGAAACAGGGACATATTTACAGCGCGAGGCTGGATGTGGAGGCACTGCTGTCTGTGGTTTGCGGGGAGCCAAGAGTGAATTCCTTGTGGTCGTTAGCTTTCACTTTGAAAAAAGAGGGTATAGAAGAGAGGGATGGTGATTAAAACGACTGTCACTCTTAAGATGATCATCGTAATTCCCTGGTTTACTCCATTAGACTGAAGGTAGCTTTGAATAACAGTTGTTGGAATTAGTCCTTGCATGCTAGGTTTGAGCAGACAGCCTTGGGGCAGGCTGTACTGGCGGAGTCCAGTATTTCTGCCAGGATCTGACTGACCGGTGCCTACAGCCAGACATGACACTGGCAGCGAGAGCCTGACCTTCCTTCTAGAACCTCTGGAAGCAGGCAGCCATAAATGAATTAACAGGAGGGGTACTTGCCTTTGGCAGAAGCATGGGAGCTGAGCTGCAGGAGGCTTCACGCTCGCCACCCACTTAGCCTGGGCTAGCTCTGATGTTTGGATGCTGTGACTTCTGCCGGTTGCTTTCCCTCCTCCACGGGAGAGGATGACTCCTCCTCGTTCCTGTTAGACAACCTGGCTGTTTTCTCTGGAGCACGTTCTGTGACCCATCCCCTGCTCAACGCAGCCGTTGACAGGATAGATTTGTGGTGCTGCCTGTGATGGAAAGTGTGCTAGAGCAGCCCGCCAGGCCTGCTCTCAAGGGGAAAATGCACTTTAACTTTTTAAGCGTCAGCGGGCATTTCCTTCACCAATACTGCCTCGTGCGTAGAAGAATTCAGAAGTAAAAGCAGGGGTTCTGAAACGCAAGTCACCTTCCGTAGTAAATAAGACTCTTGCTGTGAGTCCTCATAGCAAGAGAGAAAGGAGGTAACAAAGCATCTAGGTATCTAGACTTGCTGTGAAACAAACCTGTATGCGAACAGCTCACTGTAAGTACCATTACGAACTGCACAAAGCCAACACAAGCAGGAGTTGCGCTTTGTTTAGTCAAACAGTTTAGTGCTTCTGTGCTTGCTCCCTCTTCCTGTGTGAAGCAAGAAATATAGGAATGCTTGCCTTGGTGGAATGCGATGGTATTCTTACTCTTTATTCAGTAATTGCTTGAAAATGGGAGGTTTCTTTCTTCGCTTTCAAATTTTCATGACTTTTTGTTTGAGTAGGTGTCCAGCTTCACCTCCAGCCAGCTTGGGAAACAAGTAGTGTGCAGAGAGTTTCCTCGGACAGGGTGCCTACTTGCTGTGTCACACAGCTCCTTACCACTCCTTCCCACGTGTGCCGACTGAACAGGGCTGGGGCCAAGCTGTTTACAGCAAACTTCTTGCTCCGGCAACTCAAGTCAGCTGGTTTTGTTTTAAGAATTAAAGCACTTCGATTGTTTTAAGTATCAGTAAAAAGTACTGTAAAACAAAATCCACGTCCTTTCTACAGGGCGTACGTGTGGGAGGACAGAAACTCCCCTGTCTCCACTGATGGTGATTAGCAAAGTTTACTTTGTAGAGCCTTTTACTTAAGGACTCTTTCTGTGTTATGATGAGAGCCAACTTAATCCTTTGTGTAACTATACCACAGTTACCCTAGGAAGAGCACATGGCCTCGGCATCTGTTACATTTAGTTAGAAGAAGCGTGCTCAGAGGGGACTACTGTATGTACAGGTGGGTAACGTGCAAGTCTGAACTTGAATTTGAGTTTTCGGCAGTATTGGAACTTTGTTGCAGTATATTTCCACTCATGCATTTATTGGTTCTATGAACCATGAAAAGAAATTAAACTTGTTAACCTCCTCACAGGCTTATGCCTCTTTTCCCCCCCCCTTCCCCTTCCTCACTGTACCGTTTTCTAGACAGCTCCATAAAACTGGCTTTGGGAAGAGCAGCTGAGTGATGACTTCAGAAGCATCAGCTTTCAGCATGCGTTCCCTTGCTTATGCTAATGGAACAATACATGCCTGAGGCAAGGCGAAGCTTCAGGAGCGTGTCAGGGTTGGTTGAGACAGATCATCACGTCGCACTCCCCCTACTTTGAATCACACAAACACCATTACACAACTAGTATTTCCCAGCAAGACTAAGAATACAATAACAAGTTTAATGTACAAAAAAAAAAAGACACTTCTGTACATAGACACCGCTACATCTGTGCCAGCAGAAAGCATGATCCTGATGAGCAAATACACTGAAGACCTTGAACGTTCCTATCCCTGCTCTGTTGAAGCAGGGGAGCCCAAGGCTCCAGGTCAGGGATTTGGCTCCTGCCTGCTTCTGCGTAGTGCTGGGATGACAAGCCAGACTTCAGCAGTGACGGCAGGAAGCCTCCCTGCAGTCACTTAAGTCTGTACGCAACGCTCCTGAGGGAGCTTCAGTCTCATAGCTCTGCTGTAACTGTTGTGAGGTTCACAACAGGCAGCTTGTTTTAACTTCTGTCTCCTCTTGCTGCTCTTGGGACACTTCAGTGGAAGATGATCTTCTTATATTTGGAATTGGGGATCTGTCCTCGTGACTTGAGCCTCCTGACCGCCTCTCGCATGTGTTTGGGCTGCAGAGGTGGCAGCTCCCCCCACTTCTCGCACACATCCAGTGCTAAACAACAAAAAACAAGGAGTTCACGTGAGCAGGACAGCTAAGCTTGGCCAGTCTCTTGCTGTTTGAGCTTTAATTTTAAAGGCAACAGGTAACACTTTCACCCAGGGTTTACAGCTCACATTTTGTTAATACACAAGAATGAAACCGCTTTGTGCTTCTCTTTGAAAGAAAAGTCAGTTGTAGGGGCATCAATACCGGACCGCAATAAACCGCTTTTTAAACCACTCCAGCTACTATGGAACACGCTGCTTTGAGTCATGCAAGAACTTACGATCTTAAACCTTCTGCTCTAAAGCCACCCCTAGGTTGGGTGGTGTGTTTTGGGGTTGTTGCGTACAGCAGGGACAGGAAGGTACAGTGGACTTACGGGCCAGTTTCTTTTCTACCATTTGCAGTATCGTTCACACCTCCTGCCAAGGCTGTGCAGCAATTATGGACAGCAGTGAAGCTGCTTATCCAAACCGCCTCAGGCAGCACAGCGCTGCAGAGACAGTAGCAGTAAAGCTGCATCACCCCGGTAATGGTGATCCCGGCACACACAGGCCACGTTTTGTGTGACAAGTCTATACGAACTGGCTGGCATCAAAACCGGTATCACCTCCTCCTCCGGCCCGAGCAGAGCAGGGATATAGCTGGGTCGGCCTTCCCCCGCCCCCGCCGTGTCCCAAAAAGATCTCTGCTCATCCCATAAAGGAATAATCTTGCAGGTTAAGAGGCTTGAATAACTCATTTCCCTCCGGGCTGAATTTGTCCACGGCAGCATTAACAAAAGATCCTTACTGCCCCATTGCAGCCTGCTCACGGGCCGACTTACAGGGCAAGAGCTTCTAAGTTATCCTCCTTAGAGAGGATAAAACAGGTCACTGGTCACCAACCTCTGCTGACTCACGGGCAGCGATACAATAGGGTTAGAGAGGACTACGGGCAGCACCACGCCTCACCCCTCTCCTGGCTTAGCTCTCAGCTGTAGCGTTCTGCTGCTGCTGGAAGGCCAGAGGGCCCCGGGGGACAGCAAGACTGGGAACCACGAGACGTCCAGTCTTGTTCCATGTCCTTCTGCTCTGCTTTAAGCAATGGGTTTACCCCGTATTCTTAACCGTTTACTCGACGTTTGCCACTCACCTTCCTCCACCACCTCCCCAACAAAGACCTTGGAAATGCCAGACATGGCGATAACCACGTTCTGAGAGACAGAGGTGCCGGTGATGGACTGGATCAGCTGCACAAGAGGGACAGAAGAGTCAGTCGAGCGAGGTACACACAGCAACGGTGAAACGTTTTAACTCATATTTAGCCGTTTGAGCCTGTCGAATATCAGCCAACAGCTAATGAAATGCATAGAACTGATCTTTAAGAATTAGGTCCTACAGCTTTGGGCACGTGCTGGCTGTCAAGCTTTTAGCTTACCCTCATTCAGCTGCAGGCCCTCTACCAGGAATTACTTTTTCCCCTTGCCCCACACCACCCCCCCCAGACCACCGTTATTTAAGATGAGCTCCTGTTTAAACTGCCTAAGCCGTGCGAGGGCACCGAGCTAGAACGTAATGGGATGAGCCCATCCGAGGACGATGGCCTCGGCCACCGGGGCCGAGACGCAGCTGGAGGAGGGCGTCACCGCAGAGCCAGCTCGTGCCGTGCGAGGCCTAGCCGTGACCGCAGCCAGGCTTGGTAAGGCTCAGCCTGCTTGTTCCGCTCAGCCTCCTTCTGTGGGGAAGCGTTACTGAAGTCGTACCCGTTTAATGGCAGCTTTGGGGAAAGCAGACCGGCGATACATCTCGTAGCGGTTCAACTGTTCTTCAGAAAAGGAAGAGACCAGTATTCTGGAGCGGAGAGAATTGATTGTTTACAGCGAAAACAAAAATAAAAGTCCGAAGCTCTTCAGGCCGCTGCAACAGTCCTGCAAAGCCCTCCTACCATCCTAGGCCTCCCGCAGTACCAGACAGAGCCGGGAAGGGGAAGACGGTGCTCCAGCGGAGCCAAGGTTTGCAACGCAAAGCGGCCGGGCCCCCTCGGGAGGGAGGGGGGGGTCTGGGACAGAGCCGCGGCCGTCGTTAACCACGGGATCATAAACCGATCAAACGATTATCGCGCGGCGCCCCCCCGAGCAGCAGCCTCCCCGGCGCTCACTGCATCTTCTGGATCTCGTCCTCGTCCACTTTGTGCTTCTTCTCCTTCCTCTCCTTCAGCTCCAGCTTCACCTTCTTGGCCGCCGAGGGCTGCAGGCTGGGGTCCTCCCC